CCGTGCTCTGGTGTCCCTGCTGGAGCAGAGGGATTGGACTAGATGATCTCTAGAGGTCCCTTCCAACCTTAACCATTCTGTGATTACTTCTGCAGATGGTGAAAAGATCCCTGCAGAGGCTGGCTGTAAACCCAAACACCCACACGGGTTAAGGTGGCCAACGCAGATGGACTGCGGAGGAAGACTCGCTCTTTGGCACCACGTGCAGGCCCGCAAGCACCCTGCGGTGCAGGAGCCTGCGCGGCGAGACACGAGCCCCGGGGGCGTCACTGCGCAGCGACCGCAGCATCGTCTCCATGCTCGGTCCCAGGCTTCATCCAGCAGCTCCTGGAGCAGCAGGGCAGGCACCCGGACCAGCTTCCGTGTACACGTAGCCAGTGACAGCGCGCCGAGGAGAGCCCAGGTGCTGCTATACGCAAACCCACGTGAAAAGAAAGGGAAGATGCGAATCCCTGGGAGCTAGTGAAAATGCTGTCTAGGAGAAGATGGGAGCCAAAGCACAAAAACCCCCACGGCACCACAAAAAAACAGCCTCTCCCAAGCCAGAAAGGCCTCACTCACCTAATGATTAACCTTCCCAGCAGGAAAACCAAGGGAAATATCTCTGCCAACTAGCGAGTCATTTCTAAGTCCCCATCCGGAAAACTGAGCACAAATTGCGGTCATTTATGTTCAAAAGAACTGCAGGGAAATGAGAGCCAGTACAGAGAAGAATGAATAGATCAGTCAGTGACAGGGGAGACCTAGACAGATGGACTTATTAAACCTGGCAAACAAAGCCTGAAACAGGATGCGAGGGCTGTCTCCAAACACACCAGGCAGGTGGGTAGACAGTGGGACATGGAATTGGTACATAAAGACTCGAACACAGAGGTTTATAAAACTGCCTTTTTGGCAGATAATCCAGGAACTGGCATCTCGGGGTGTTTTTCCTGTTGCTGTTCTAAACCAAGAGGCGGATACGGTTGCAGAGGGCACTGTGTGAAGCAGTGGCCGCGCGGCGCCCGCGGGGCTCTGGGGCTGCTGGGGCAGCTCCCGGCCTCCCTCCTGCACACACGTGTGGCTGCCCTGGGAACCAGCCCCACTCTGGGAGCTCAGCACGGCTCTGCTTCACCAACACCGCCAGTAACGACGCCGGTTGGAGGCACAGGACTACACACCGGTCGGAGGTGATTAAGAGCCAGGCCTGTGGCTGTGCTTGCAGCCAGGGGTACCTGGGGAAAGGCGAGACGGCGATTACAGATAAGGCAGCCTGGTTTTAACTCACGTCCATTTATCACAGCCCTCGCAGGTAAGAAGTGCCCAAGGAGGAGAGGAGCAGCAGGTGCCATGGACTGCGCGACACTGGTTGCCACCAGCACGCCGGGCGGGCACCGTGGCTCCAAGGCCCCCAGAAAGAGGGTTGAGCTTCCCATCCGGCACCCAGGAGATCGGAGCAGGAGGAAGCAGCACGTCCCTCCTCAAGCTGGTAGCTGTGTGTGCACATATGTATCTGAAGATGCCTTTACATGATGAGGTTATCTTGGAAAAGCCCTAATGCAGCTTCATCCATGTGTATAACCTTCATTTTCCATCTAGGGAAGCAAACAAGGGAAGGGGAAAATAAGTAACAATAATGACGATAGATAGTGCCTTTACAAAAACACCAACTTAAATGAGATTTGGAAGCAGGATCTAGTCTAGACCTTGCATATAATCCACAGGCAACTAGAAAAAAAAATTCTTCAGATACATTATCAAAGTCTGAAACATTAGTAATCAACTTTTCTACTTACTAGGGCACATATCCTCATAATTTGAGCTTGCTATCAAACGGGTGATGAAAGCTTGGGTGATAATTAGAGAGCTAACAAACTAAAGGTAATTGTGTAATTATAGGATGCTCAGTAATGAGGACCCAACGCTAAACACCTACAAGAAATGAGAGGTGAGAAAATGCTGCGTTATGACGTTTCTAATTCTTCTTTAGAAATCGAAAAGCTTAGATCTTAGTGAGAATTTGATAATGCCCAAGAAAATACTATTGCAACAGGTTCCAGATCGCTCTGGAACGTGCGTGCAGCATTGACTTTGCCTCAAAATGCACATTATTTCTGGAGGTTTGGCATAGTATTGCTTGTCAGAAAATGACTACTGCCTTTAAAAAGGCTCCTGGAAACACACGTGGGTTTTTACTCACCTCAAAAAAAAAAAATGAAAGTCTTGACTCAACGAGTGTATTTTATACTAATGACCAAGCAACTTGAGAATTTGAAATAATCAGACACCAGTGCAAGCATTGGCAATCTATTAAATATATTTTGAAGCAGGACACAGCCGTGATGCTTGAGATGGTATTGTTAGTACTGTTCACAATGGCAAGATGAAGAAAACACGCAGCTTCTTGCATTGGGCAACACTAAGAATCCCAAAGGAGTTTGCAAAACGCATCCTGTTAATAGGAAATTTGTATCCCAGACCATGATTTTGCAGCTTGGTGCTGACCAGCACTACAGCAAAGGCACCTGCGCAGCGGAAAGAGGCATTTGCCAGAGCGATCAGTTAAGCTTCAGACTTTTAACAAAACAGAACACAAAATATATTTTATATCAGCACCCAAGAACACTGTCAGTAGTTCTCAATCGAAGCAAGTTTCCAGTTGCAGAAGGATGACGAACGGAGAGTCGCCAGTGGATGACTGGGATGAGGCGCTTTGTCCAGAGTCACATGAAATATTCCCATTGGTTTTGGTTTTCCTTTCCAGTGGATACATCCATTTATTTTTTTTAAACAGCGAGTCGTCCAAAAGTCACCTCCCGAGCGGCAGGAATTAGTCATGCTCGTAACGCAACAGCGCAAACACTTCTGTAGCTACAGCTGTGCAAGATCTCCACGTCCAGCCTCTAATTATGCCATGGGACTGAATCAGCACCGCCTTTGAAGACAGGCCAGAACCACCCCCCCTCAAAATAAACCAAAATCCTCCACATTTTTCTTAAGTTACTCGGCGACAGCCATGGAAGTTGGAGCCATCGTGCTGGAAACGCGGCTGAGCTGCGCTCCCACACGCAAGCCCATCTCTGAAGGGCCGTCCCTGCTGCACTCCCTTTATTTATAATGCAGTCAAGCTGGTAGCACAGGAGAGCGATGCTTCGCTGCAGGGAAACGGACTATTTGGTCCTCATCCAGCACCCAGTCAAAACAGTGGTTAAGAGCAACGTATTCCTCCCCAGAGGAGGAGATTGTATCTTTTACCAAAGATGATGGGTAAAATCATCGTCTCGCCGGCCGACACGTCTTGCATTCATTTCCAACGGGGTCACCATTTTGTCCCCTATGTTCAAACCATGATCTTGTGAAGACAAAGCGACCCTCGGTCCCAGAAAAAAAAATATATATATATATATATTATTTGATCAAAGGTAAATCCTCATAAGCCCGTGTTTGCTATTCAACAAACTTAACTGTCTTTAAGTAAAGGTTGATTTCTTCACAGCTCGCCTCCGCTGTTGTCCCACAGGCATTGCCATGGCAGATGCTCGTTCTGGGCTTTATGGTCCTTTGACTTCAAGACAGGATCACGCAAAAAACAAGGACACTCGGAAAGCTGACCGAGAACAGCAGCAAAGGCCACACGCTGCCCCCCGCAGTTACCCTCTACATTTCTCTGCATTTCTTTCCATGTTAATACTCGTCCCTACCCGTTTCATCTGCTTCAGAAAACATAGGCAGCTTTTTGCAAAGGCATTAATACCAAAATAATCCCCAGTTTTGGTCTGCATCCATAGAAGAAACATAGCAAGACCCACATAGAGTCATCACGATGATTTCACATCACAAGAATGTCCTAAACCCCATTTTTCCCACCATTTCTGCTTAACTACCAGGCACATGGATTCTATTTTTTCTTATATACGAGCAGCATTCAAAAAACCAGTGACAGAAACCGTAAGTCCTCAAGAAAAAAAGAAGAAAAAGAAAAAAAATCAATTTAGAGACTCACAGTTTTATTTCTCAGTTTTCTGAGAAATAAACGAGTTTCTCAAATTAATCTGGATCTCTTTCCTTTTTCCTTTGGTCCGTTCAGCAATTACGTTTTCAGTCTACCCTGCCTGAAGCTGAGGCTACAAAACCAAGTCACCCTGAAGCAAACAAGGCTATAAATGTTTATAGGGCATCGGACACAGCGTGCGAGTGCTCGCAGCAGCCTTTTCTCCTTCCCAACAAAGGCAGCAACGGCCCCTCACCCGTGCGGCTGTAAACCACACACCTTCGTTTGCTTTGGGGAGGATCTGCACTTGACTCCCTGTATTTCAGGCCTCGGACACCGTGTTCCTCTCTCTCCTGCTGCACCGCTGCTCTACAGTACTTGCTCTTTTCCAGATGGCAATAAAACCTGCTTTAGGTTGCTTTAAAAAACACCTTGCATGCAGTGCATTTATGTGACACCAAAGCTCTGGCGAGCGATACTGTGCCCAGTGCCTGAAAGCTGGCAAAAGTCAAGTCTAAGCCAGACAGTTATTAAGAGCCCAAACGTACCCTCACGTGAAGGTGGCTGTAATCCCACTTCAAGCTGGGCTAGAAACCTGCAGACGTCCCTTCTACCAGCACCTCGAAATACAGCAGCTGTTTATTGTTATGTATTATTTTATTAAGGAGAATTGCCTTGCCTCTGGCTAACCTGCTACGCTGGATGAGCTGATGCCTCTCAAAATTTTTAACTCCTTGACCCAATCCTCGACATGCAGGAAAACGGAGCAGAAAAAAAAAAGGATTACTTCATGCCTGCCCTAGGAAAACGAGCAGAACAGCCAGGGCAAAGCCACGCTGAAGCGGTCCAGCCACGTCCAGCTCTGATAAAACGCAGCTCCTAAACCCACCTACGGTGCATTTATAACACGAGTGACCATCAAATGCCTTATTCCCACATGTCACCACACAGCCCCCCTGTATCTTGTCACGTATGTGCTCCAAAGCAGGCACCCTCCCTGCTTTTGGGATTCGGTTATGTGACTCGTCACGGGAGGCGAGCGGCCGCCGTGCAGGAATTTTTGCGGTTGCTGTTTGAGCAGCAGCTGCAGCTGGTACTCGTCCCGCGGGGCCGTGGCGCGCTCGCAGTGGTACAGCACGAAGAGCAGGTTGGCCGCGTAGGGCACGATGCGCCCGCTGCGGAAGCGGCGCTGCGCCTGCCGCGCGTAGTTGTTCGCCCTCAGAGGCTCCTCGTCTTTGAAGAAGCCCATGAGGGAGAGCAGGGGCTGGAGGGTCTCGGCGTGGCCGATCTGTACGATCACGGGGGAAGAAATGGGCTTGGAGCTGGAAGAGAACATGAGAGCAAAGGGTCAGGAGGAGCCCGACGCTTCCAACCCAGCGCGCTCGCACGCCGGGAGGGGATGGTGAGCTTTTATTCCACTCCGATGCCCTGTAACAGCCTGCTTGGGAATTTCTGTATTTAACAGGCTTTTTAAAGCATCCAAGCTGAAGAATCTGTAAGACATATTATAATAAATATAGCTAGATACCCTTGAATACAGGAAATGCAAGCAAAGACCAGATTCGTGCCGTGCGCCCGTACATCCCAGCACCCCTCGGACCGCCTGGGTGAGCCCAAGTATTTGCACTATTCTCGGCTACGGAAAGAGCCAATAAACACGTTACATTCCCCACACTGGTTTGGGATTAAACCAGGCATTTTTAGTAGCAGCATTGCCTCTTCCCACCGGGAATTAAGGGCAGCAAATCCCCAAGGCTGCTGGGAGGCTCTGTTAAGCCAAATCAAGCCCTTCAAGTCAGTCATTTGGGGAGCATTATTCCCTAGGAAAAGCAAAAAGATGGGAATAACAAAACTTAATGAATGATTAAGGGAGCTCATTCAAGACACAACTTAGCATTAAAACACAGTCTTTACCTCTAGCCTCTCTAAATACTTCCACTGACTGAGAAACTTAAGTCATCTGAAAAAAAGTCTGCTCAGGCTAATCCAAGGCGTGAAGAGATGACTGCAACTTGCCACTTTGCTCCACCTGGCAAGTTTTACAGTTTTTAGTCCTCAGTTTAGTAAAATTAACACTGAAAACTTTTCTCAACTGCTGCAATACAGCAGGATAGGCGACAACAGCTGTGTTTTGAGATGCAAGTCAAGGCTAACTACAAACCTAGTGGCACATTAGCAAAGTGGAGTCAACACTGCTGCCCTCTGACACAACCCCAGCGCCGCGACCACCGCATAGCAAGCAGATTGCTGATCTGGCCTGCGAAAGGCTTCCCTCTGCAGCCCACCAGCCGCCAGGCAGAGGTCAGGGAGAGTTGTTCAACGCACTAGTTTTTCTGCAACCACCAGTATTCGGAACTGCGGGTGGTGACAAAGCCAAGAACCACGTTTTGATCATAAAAATGCTGCCGATTATTGTGTCAACAGCACTTTGCATGTGATGGAGAAGCACTTCCACACTGTGCCTTCCCACTCAAGGCCAGTCCCCACAGGACGATAGCTTTCCCTCTACATGTTCTTGGTTCCAGTGAGTGCTGTCCCTGTCTTCTGCCCATGAAGGCAACAATTTTCATCTCCAGAAGCTCAGCAGCTCGCTGGAGACCGTGCGAGATGCATTGTTTGAGCAAGGAGAACTTGGCTTGTGCATGAGGAAGCACCGGCCAAATGGGGTATCTGCCCCTGGCCCCAGAGGAGGATGGTGCCTTCTTGGCACTGTCTCCAGGTGACTCTCCCAGGTCACTCTGGGATTGTAAACAGACACGGAGCTTTCCCGAGACAAAAGGTGATGTTTTAGCAACCCCGTGCTCCACACGGGCCAGGCACGTCCACCCACAGATGAAGCACCTCTTGATTGGTCTGGAGAGGAGGTGTCTCCTCGGCTTGAAGCTAAAGGCTGGAGCAACTGAAAAATGGTTAACTGAGGAACTTACTTGTAGGCAAGAACTTTGCTCAGATAAGCAGGATTTTAGGAGAGGCACGTGACGGGCTTGGCATTACTGGCTCCGCAGAGACGCCGTGTTTGTGCAGGGTGAAATACACCTTGCATAATCCAGCTCCCCGGGGAGCCCATGGTCCTGATGAGGAGAGGCCGGAAGAAGGGCTGCAGCCACCAAAGGTGCTGCGTGGAGACACGACACATTTTCTAGCCCGTGTTTTTTGTTCTCCCCAATCCTGGCAGTGAGGGGAGAGGATGGGAGGAGGAGGAGGGTTTTCCAAGATGGTACCTAGGATGGGAGACTCTTCTGGCCTCCTGCCGTTTCCAGCTCGGAGATCTCTGGGGCCACTCGTGGCCTCTTTGTATGACGGAACTCCACAAATTTGCCAAAGCTCCCCTTGAATCCATGCACGTGGCAAGTGTCCACAGCAACCCGCAGCAAGGAGTTTCACAGCCTCGTGCATGGACTCCTAACTAGCTCTCAATTTCTCCGCCTGAAGAGGGCATCTATAATTTGATCTTTTTGACTCATAAAAAAAGATTCGGGCCTGTTCAGCCTGGAGAAGAGAAGGCTGAGAAGGGACCTGAGCAGTGTCTATAGGTACCTCAAGGGAGGCAGTGAGGAGGATGGTGCTGGCCTCTTTTCACTGGTGGCCACCGGCAGAACTAGAGGAAATGGCCACAAACTGAAACACCAAAAGTTCCACAGGAACTTAAGGAAAAATTTCTTAGCAGTGAGGGTGACAGAGCACTGGAACAGGCTGCCCAGAGAGGTTGTGGAGTCTCCTTCTCTGGAGATCTTCAAAACCCGCTTGGACGCAGTCCTGTGCCACGTGCTCTAGGTGACCTGAGCACGACCTGAGCGTGTGCAGGGGGATGTACGAGATGACTTCTAGATGTCCCTTCCAACCTTCAGCATTCTGTGATTCTATGATAACTTCACAGTCATCTTCTCTCCAAGTTGATAAATCCCTACTTCGGCATTTCACGACTCTGCCACCCTTTTTCCAGCATTAAATCCCTCGAATCCATAGTGTAACCATGATGGTGTCTTATTGTCTCAGAGCACAGCTTCTGACATCTTTTCCACCTTGTTGATAGAAGTTGTTTGTGGAGAACTAGCATAACCTCAAAGTTTCATTCCTGAGCAGCAACAGTCACCTCTGTGCTTGACAGACCAAGATCCATCTCCCCATAGGCAGCACTTCACGGATGTGTCCCCCTGCCTCACTCGCCCTAGCTCAAAGCTTCATACCGTCAGGTCACGACCGTAAGAATTGCTATCAATCTTGAAACAGCAACAGCAGCACTTTTAATTATGGGGGAAATGGGGAAAGATTGACTCCTGGCATGGGCACAGGCTGTTGCTGCTCAGACAGGGCTGATAAATTCCAGCATTAAAGCAATCAACGGGTACTGATAAATACCGAAAACCTGATAAATTCAAAACAGTAGCACAAGCTAAGAAAATATTAAACCGCTCAATCCACCATCAGTCTTCTTTATGAAAGACACGTGGCTCAGCATTGCGCAAGAGCGTCAGACAAAGTTCTCAACATCCTACCCCAGCTACTGCTCATGAGATTGCAATTTGCCTTTTCTGTTGGACGAGGAGGGAAAGTTTATGGATCACCTAAAAAAAACAGAAAGAAAAAAAATCATTTGTCACCTGAAAGTGAGATGGAAGAGACTGAGCATAAAACTTGGCCATAAAATAACCATCAGTGCCCTGAAAAAATGATTGCTGGTTATTGGCTTCCTTCTGGTTTTATGGGACTGGAGCAGAAGTGGCTGCTGCTAGGTAGAGCGAGCAGAGCTCATCCGAGAAACGTGTGCGTTTCCTTTTTTAGGGCGACTGATATATCGCCTCAGCTATGGAAAAAAATTCACTTTCTTTGAAAACCGAAGTTTATTTCCTAAGCACTAAAATGACTTTCAGCTAGAGATAACCGAAACCTCAAGAGATAATGTAATGGCAAAGCAGCAGAGCCCAGTTGTGCTCACTAGCTCCCGAATCGTCACCGCCACTTTGTTCCCGCAAATCCCAGCAAGAAAAACGCTTTCTTCCAAAGAAGGACAAGTAAGGACAGGCTTGAAAAGGCGATAAGAACACACAAAACTCATTTAAAGCCCTGTTCAAAAGGCACGGCTCTTATCTAGTCCCACACGTGTTAATTACGCAAAGATACCTAGATTGGTCAGCACTTCATTTCCTCCCTGCAG